TGCATTTTCGAACGTTCTAATTTATAAATAATTCAACTTTGAACGCGTATTACAGCAATATGGATAAGAGCACATTAATGTATCTATATTGCTGTAATATGTATGATATGAGGAAGTTGTATAACAATTAAAACAGCAATGAAGTGAAATGAATCTGTGGTGATTAAAGAGCAATTATACTTGTGTCTCATAATACGGTTGTCGGAGAGTGGAAAGCGCATTTAAGAAGTCAGTACAGCACCTAAGGTAATGTAATGTATGTATTGGGAAAACTGCCAGGAATAATTGAATGCATTCTTCCGGTTATCCTCGAAATGCAAGGTTGTAATTTTACGTTTGTGTTTGTGAGATGTGTACATGTACAGTATACACCTTGTGGTAGGCATTAGACGCGTGGCCGTGCTCACTGACTCGTGAAAAACTCCCAAGACACAGGAAATGTCTGCAGCTTGTACACATCACGTCTTTCTCATTGCAGCAGCAATGTCAAGTGTGACACGAACCATTATAGTAGGTGCTCTGTTATGTCTTTAAAATTTAATTTACTTCTTGCAAATACATCGAACACACACTCACATTACGTATACACAATGATGAATATTTAGTGCAACAGATGCATTTCGCATCGAGATGCATTCGAAGGTCCTCCTCCTCTTCCTTGCTCATTTCATTTTCTACCTACGGTGTCTTCAGAATACCTGAATATGAAACAATCGTACTGTTGTTCCATTATGAAAATAAAAGGATTAGGCAACGCCGCATTTGCTAATTATGGAATTTCAATTACTTAAAAATACTTACACACAATTATGAATCACCTGTTTTCAGTTTAACGAAAACTTTCATAAATTATCATTAATAAATAATTTCGAAATTATCTGTTTTCTCAATTTTCTTTATATCTATATTATATTCACAATTATTTCACATTACTGTTGACATATTAACTTTGAAAACTACTGCAATTGTTTTGACAGGTTTACCAATTATATAATTAATAATAAGCGATTGGTATTCATGAAATCCGATATCAGTGAATTCAGCTGCATTCAATTTAATACAAAAAAAAAACTGATCTAATAATATTTTATATTAATGTAACAGATTTTTACGTTAATATCACTATAAAATCTCTGTTTTTAAAATCTCTTTATTTTTTTAAATATTTATTTATTACTTTTGTTTTTTTTCTCTCTTGTTATATAACTTTTAAAAACTTTATAAAAAAAAAATATGAATCAATAACTGCGTCTAAATACTTAAATTACTATTACTAAATACTATTATTAGGCAGAGTTTTTGAACCTTTTGATTTCAAATCACAAACTTGAACCTGTATTTAAACTTTCAATGTTTATTCAAATTTTGATGTAAACTTTGGTTTACTTCAAATTTATAGTAATTAATTCATGTACAGTTATTTTTTTATTTAATTTTGCAAATGTATTCAAGGTTATAGATAAACTCGTGTTTTATTTTCGTA